CAAAACTCCGCATTTGAGCAGTCAATAGCAAATACTTAAACTATTAAGAAAATATACTTACAGTAGCTGATTCAGAATGATTCAGCGCCAGATTGTCATAGCAAAGTCGGAATTGACCTATTTTTTTTAGAAATAGCCTTTGCACAGCCAGCCTTGTAGGCTACTCTCCTAGGTTCACAAAACTGTCGTCCATAAAATGCGTTGCACCAATTCGAACATCTGGGTTGTGCTGTTCTGTTGTAAATAACGCAAATATTTCCACATCGTGATGTAGATATGTGGGGGCGTGTTTGAGGCGTTTTAGTCCGGTCTGGATAAGCCTTTTCTTTTAGATAGAATAAATCCTTTTGTGGGAGACTGAGCTTTGTAACTCTGCAGATCTTATACATGCACAAATAGCTACATAATACACTAAAGAAAAGGAAAAATAGAAATCACATCATATGACCCCTTTAAGTAATCCAAAGTGCATTTATTTGGAGGTTTTTATTGAGCTCATTTAAGGTAATTTATTGATGCTTTTTGTCTTGTTTGTAAATGAGTGCTTTAATTAAAAATGAATGTACTGCATTGTCTTTTTTTAAATTTGCAGATAAAAAGGAACCATCTGGAGGTAAAATATACAAATGCATACACTTCATTTTAGGTCAATTGTTTCTACTTCAAGTCAAGTGTTACTTTAATTTTGTACAGTAATCGACATACCATTGCAAAAAAATTAACATGATGTTTCGATTCTCAGGTGACCTCGATCTGTCTGATGCATTTGGTCCAGGTAAAAATTAGAGTTTTGCTTTTTTAACTTTTGGGGTGTGTAGCTTCCATTTTCTTTCTTTCTCTTTCTTTCTTTCTTTCTTTCTTTCTTTCTTTCTTTCTTTCTTTCTTTCTTTCTTTCTTTCTTTCTTTCTTTCTTTCCATCCATCCATCCATCGATAAATTTCCCCCTCAATTTTTATGGCCTTAGCACTGCGATGCAAGGACCCTCTTGGAATTGCTCAGTTTATTATTATTATTAGAAGTAGTAGCAGTAGTAGTAGGGCCCGAGCACCAATGGTGCGAGGACGCTCTTGGAATTGCTCTGTTTCTTCTTCTCCAAAGTGAATCACATTTTTGAGGGCGTAAACATGGTCGAAAACTCACAAAACTTCAGAACTGGCGAAAATGTACATCTGATATGGGTTTCAGAATTGGGCGTGGCAAAATGGCTCGATAGCGCCACCTATAAAATTTCAACGAAGCTCCCCTCCCGCTACATTTCACGTATGTGTACGAAATTCAGTACATGCATGTAATGTCCCAATACCTACAAAAAAGTATCTTGTGTTCCAGTTCACTTTTAGACATGCACTTGCGAACTTCCATAAGCACTTACCCTCGGGGGAATCCCCGCCGCCATTTTGAAGTGCGTTCCACTTCGTCAGGTGGACAGGGGAAGTTTACATGGACATACCCTCGACCCCTCGATTTTGAAGGGGGAGTGAGTCTGCTTCATATGCACACTTCAGGCCGCTCTGTAGAACACAATGCAACACGACTATGACGTCATCGCAGATTGCCTTTAATTTATCCCCACCCCAAACAACACTATAATATATAAATGATTTATTTTTTTTTGTGAATGAATTTCCTCTATGATTTTTGTGCAGTTTTTGCCATTTTCAGGTCTCGTACTTTAACAAACTCCTCCTACAGTTTTAATCGGATCATCTTCAGATTTGGTGAGTGTAATCATAAGGCTGTAGCAATGCTAAATTGCGAAGATCTTGAGTTTTCGTTGAAAGGCGTGTCCCTGGCAGCCTGACAAAATTCGATGTTTCGCCATGAAATAAGAAGTTGCTGTAACTCAGGCAAACAATGTCCAATCTTCCCCGAACTTCACACGTTTGATAGGAGTTCTGTCCTGAACACACGTCCATGCCCATATTCAGTTATAGTTATAGCGCCACCTGCTGGCAACAGTAAGTTGCATGTTAAACACCGTTATGGACTCCTATCAACATGTTAAGTAGCAATGCTAAATTGCGAAGATCTTGAGTTTTCGTTGAAAGGCGTGTCCCTGGCAGCCTGACAAAGTTCGATGTTTCGCCATGAAATAAGAAGTTGCTGTAACTCAGGCAAACAATGTCCAATCTTCCCCGAACTTCACACGTTTGATAGGAGTTCTGTCCTGAACACACGTCCATGCCCATATTCAGTTATAGTTATAGCGCCACCTGCTGGCAACAGTAAGTTGCATGTTAAACACCGTTATGGACTCCTATCAACATGTTAAAAAGCATCAGCAAGTGTTAAATACGTTAGCAACATGCTAGAAACAAGCTAAAACAACATGCTAGTAAGACTTAGCTAAGTGCTAAAGCATGCTATTAATGCAGTGAAACAGCAAGTTGCTGTAACCCAGGCATTCACTGTCCAATCTGCCCCAAACTTAGCATGTTTGGTAAGAGTCCTAGCCTGAACACATCAACATGCCAATATTCAGTTATAGTCATAGCGCCACCTACTGTCAACAGGAAGTGACATGTTTAACACCGTGATGCACTATCAGCAACATACTAAAATAAGCCATTGAGTGCTAAACAGAGTGCTCGAAACTTGCTCAAACATGCTAGCAACACTTACTAAGTGCTAAAGCATGCTATTAATGCCATGAAACAGGAAGTTGTTGTAACTCATGCATACAATGTCCAATCAGCCCCAAACTTAACATGTTTGATAAGAGTCCTGCTTAAACACATCTACATGGCAATATTCAGTTACAGTTATAGTGCCACCTGCTGGTTGCAGGAAGTGACATGTTTTACACTGTAATGTACTCTCAGTAACATAATACAATATGCCAGCAACTGCAAAACATGCTAGCAACATAATAGAAACATGTTAAACCATGCTAGCAAAATTTAGCTAACTGTTAAAACATGCTGCTAATGGCATGAAACTGAAAGTTGTTTTATTGTCCAATCTGCCCCAAATTCAACAAGTTTGAGGTCTGTTGGCAACAGGAAATGGCATGGTTTACACCAGAGTTCCTCAATAGGCGGCCCGCGGGCCACATCCGGCCCGTGAGAGAAAAAAGTTTGGCCCGCGCTAATTTCAAATAATATGGCATGAAAATTCAAACACAGCATCAGAAAGCTACATTAACTTACATCGTGTCTACACCGGACGCGGGCGGCGCGGCCCGATGCAATAAAATGCAATAGAACTCATTATAATCAGTGATGCTGTCTTGGATGCGGCGCGACACGATAACTGCTGAATCAGTGACGCAGTGAGTTCACAGTTTTAATGTACAAGTTTGCATTAATTTATTTTCAGTAAAATATCTATTGTTGCTTTCACTATGGCTATAAAGATAACGCAAAATAATATTCAAACTCACATTAGACACTTTTAACCCTTTCGCACGTGAGTTTAAAATATTCTAGCTGAGCCCCAGCGTGAGTTTTTTTAGGCGACCGTTATTTTAAAATGTATCGCCTAATTGTTTCCATGGCGACGCGTCATGCTTGTCATGTGACACAACGCAACCACAATATGTAGATACGATGTGACAGCAAAAACATGGCGAGTGTGTAGAAAAGAAAAGTGGACACGGAAAATAGATGATTCAAATGTGAATGGACTGAACAGTTTTGAGTGAGTGAGTGACTGATATCTTTGTTATGGAATACACGTGTTGGTTCGCAGTGAGTTCACCGTTTTAACTGACAAGTTTGCTTTAATTTATTTTCGAGATCTGAGGTAAAATATCTATTGTTGCTTTCACTATGGCTATAAAGATAATGCAAAATAATATTCAAACTCACATTATACACTTTTAACATTGAATAAAGCACATAATCATTACCTGAGATTATCACTGTCATATTTTGTATGTTGTTCCTGCTGCGACGTCGCAGAAAATAAAAAATGTTCCTAAAATAGAATCCCATGTCGCTTATTGTCACGTGTCGCTGTCACGGGTGGTTAGGACAAAAACTACATGGAAAAGATACTTTTTATCGCGTCAAGTCTGGTTGGGACACAAGGTGTTACAGTTTGATCCCCCCCCCAAAAAAAATCTAAGCATAAAAATATTAATACTCACAAATCAAATAATTGAATCTGCAATTAGGGAAAGTGGAGAGAAGAGATCCAGTCTGGGAATGAGCAGGAACAGTTGATTTGCATGGCAGACATGGAGATCCAGATTTTTTGTTTGTTCATTTGTTTTTAATATTCAACAGGCAATGTTCTTCTGTATCTAAATGCAAAAATGTTCATAATTGTTTGAATAAAACAGACTCCTGGGGAAAAATCTGAATATTCAACTTGTGACCATCTTGTGATTATTTTAACAAAAGCAACAATAATATAATAATTGTAATAATAATAACAATTTTCTCCTTTTCCAGTGTGTATTTAGCCTGTTTATACAAGACATTATTCCCCTTCCTGTGAGCATCTTCTTTGGCCTGACGGAGCTGTCTGAGTTTTGCAGTGAACCATGGTTTGTCATTGTTGTAAGTTAGATGAGTCCTGGTAGGAATGCACATGTCTTCACAGAAACTGATATAAGATGTTACAGTCTCTGTGAGCTCGTCCAGATCGGTGGCAGCAGCTTCAAAAACGCTCCAATCAGTGAGGTCAAAACAAGTTTGTAAATCCTGCTCTGCTTCATTAGTCCATCTTTTTACGGTCCTTAATACAGGTTTAGCTGATTTCATTTTCTGCCTGTAGGTCTGTATTAGATGAACTATACAGTGATCAGAGAGTCCCAAAGCTGCACGTGGAACAGAGTGATATGCATTCTTTATTGTGGTGTAACAGTGATCCAATATATTACCGTCTCTGGTGGGACATGTGATGTGCTGTCTGTATTTTGGCAGTTCACGGGAGAGATTGGCTTTATTAAAGTCCCCGAGAATGATTAAAACAGAGTCCGGGTGTTGTTGTTCTGTCTCTGGGATCAGATCGGCGAGTTTCTGTAAAGCGGAGCTCACATGCGCTTGCGGAGGAATGTACACACTGACGAGAATGAACGAGCAAAACTCCCGCGGCGAATAGAACGGCTTACAGTTAATGAAGAGCACTTCTAGATCTGAACAGCACATCTTCTTTAACACAGTTACATCTGTACACCACCTCTCATTGATGTAAAAGCATGTCCCGCCGCCGCGCGATTTCCCCGTTGATTCTGCGTCGCGATCTGCTCTAAACAGCTGAAAGCCCGGCAGACTCAACGCGCTGTCCGGAATGGCGTCTTTCAGCCAATTTTCCGTGAAACCCAGAGCAGCAGAGTTTGAAAAATCCTTATTTGTCCGGGAGAGCAGAAGAAGTTCGTCCATTTTGTTGGGTAGAGAGCGGAGATTTGCCAGATGGACTTGACAATTATGATGTATGGAGTGTAGATTGTTGTGGAAAAAAACTAATTTAAAGCAGTTTAACATAAGGCAGCAACAAAACAAAATGTGAAAAAAATGAAGGGGTATGAATACATTCGCAAGGCACTGTATGTATAGGTCAGTGGCCCTTGGCTTGTTATTGTTGGCAGAATTCAGCCCTCAGCGAAAACTAATTGAGGAACCCTGGTTTACACAAACTCGAACAAGCAATGTCAAATCTGCCCCATACTTCACGTTTTATAAGAGTCCTGGCCTGAAGACATCTAAAGGCCAATATTCAGTTATAATCATAGTGCCACCTGTTGGCAACAGGATATGTCATGTTTTACACTAACTCAGTCATACCATGTTCGACCTGCACCAAACTTCACATGTTTGATAGAAGTCCTGGCCTGAAGACATCTAAATGTCAATATTCAGTTATAGTCATAGCGCCACCAGCTGGCAACAAGAAGTTTGGCACATATAAATTAATTTTTACATATTCTTATATTTACCACTTTAAATGCATATTGCCCACAGTTTTTCCAAGGCCACCGGGTGGAGGTGGCTCTGGGTGCGAGGGCCATTTCAACGCTGCTTGCAGCTTTAGTTACTCATGATATACAACCCCATGTCATTCCAAACAATGACTGACTTTCATCTGTGGAACACAAAAGAGGATATTTTGAAGAACTACCCCTTTAAAAATAATTGATATTGGGTATTAATATAATTAAATATTAATTTAAAGCTACAACTTAATAGATCCTGTGCTGCTATTCATGGCTTTTGCCAATGCTGTTAGTTTTCCTTTTCTGCTTGTTTTAAAGGTGCCGTTTAGAATTATTTTTAAGCAGTAACATTATGCCATTTTTTCTTTTTTCTTTATCTCTCTCTCTGCAGATACTGAGCCCAAAAAACCTGTGGTCCCACCCAAAGAGAGAGGAACTGGTATGTTTCTGCCAACATCTGTTTTTGTGGTCTTGTGATGGTGTAATTTTTGGGCTCTTTTTTATGTTTAATAGAGAAAAAATGGAGTGCATATTGTCTATTTTTAATAATGCATGACCTCAAGGTGTTGACATATTTCAGATTTACATATGAAGTCAGAATGTAAAACATCAAAGAGCTTGTCCCTGTAAAAAATTTTTTTTTTACACCACAGCCCAGCACATGGTAGCTTGAGATAGCCACAGTTGTATTATATTAAGTCAAGTAGATTCTCTCTTTATATTGAATATGAAACTGTAAACCGTAATAATTTTTAGTAATTATGATATTTAGCTTGAAACGCATACAATTTATGTCGGTGATGATACTGGTGTTGTCTCCTCATCTGTCTACTCTTCAGTGCTATTTATAATACAGAGGCTGACTAACCATTTGAGATGCTTGATCTCCAATGGAGAGCATATTTAAATTGTGAATTGCTCTCTATTCTGTGCATTCTCTGTTCTCTATATAGTGCAGTATGTTGAATTTACTAAATAGGAATTAATAAATATAAGAACAAGTGACTGATTTTAGACAAGAACATGGCACTTCAGATTTTAGAGAGCATTTGATTGGTCAGAAATTCTGACGAAAATCTGAAGTGCACAATATATTTGATTGGTATCAAGAAAATATAAATGTACATTTTGAGTGTGTATCCTCATAATAGCAAGTTTAGGAGCACACTAGCTTACAGATAAACGTTAACACATGCATGCTAAAACACAGACAAAACATGATTTTATGGTCTTTATTGACAAAAATTATGGATCATGTCCACATTTTATCAGTCATTTTCAAATTAAGTGAAATCCATCAGGGATAAATGTGTAAGTTAAAAATAGTGTATTATTTACACTTTAAAAAGTCTGAGGGACTGAAAGATTACTGAAGCTGAAGAATGATCACTGAACCCAATCCGATTCTTCTGTGTATTACACATTAAGGTGGTGGAACTTTTGATGACAAAGACCTTTTTGATGTGAAGGAAGGGGGTGAATACAAGCCCGATGGAGGGCAAAGTGGAGGTTTGCATCATTATTTTTTTTAGTTTTGGGTTTTCCCAGGTTTTTATGACTCAAATATAGCCAAGTTTCATGTACAACCCATTTGCAAGCCCCTAATGCAATCACAATTACCTAAAAAAAGCATTTGAAAGCATTTGTTATTTAATGTGCTTTTCTGTGACGTACTTCAGTGCTGTGAATGAATCTGACTGTGGTTTTTGGTTTTGGTTTAAGGACGAGGAGCAGACATACCTGATTATGATCAAAATGGTATTTATTTCCTTACATTTATGGCAAATACTTGCCATTTGGTTCATAACTTTTAATTTTTACTTATTCTTGAATAGTAAAAGATTTATTTGTTTTTCCTGTTGTTTATTTGTTTGTTTCTCATTAGGTGGTGCCTCTGAACAACCTCAAGGTAAATATATTCATTAATTATATTCAAATTGTACTTAAGGTTTTCACTCCATGTGTCTGTAATTGTTTTGGAAAAACTGTCAGCCACATAGTGTGGATTGTTATGGAGTCCACTGAAATATAAAGTTCACAAACACAGACATGAATGACTGCCTCTGGGAGGTGTCTTTGCTTTCGCTCTCTCTGACTCACCTCACTTCTTGCTGTTCGTCCTTTTTGAAGCTTGGTTTACTTGCCAGTGTTGTCTTTCCTAGTGGAGTTAGGCTGTCATCTGTTTCAGATTTTTTTTTTTTTTATCAAGAATATGACCGTTCATGAGTCTGACCTCAAAGCTAAAACATTTTAGCCTAAATACTGTGAGGCCATGGAAACTGCACTAGTCTGATGACTGACTGACTCTCACACAGTTCTTACATAAGGACAGGGCGGTTCAACAGACAAAAACACTTATTGGTGGGTAGGAAATGTTGAGGTTTGCCACTAGCAGATGTTTTCTTCTGTGTTGGAATAGTAACAACCTCAAGGTAAATATATTCATTAATTATATTCAAATTGTACTTAAGGTTTTCACTCCATGTGTCTGTAATTGTTTTGGAAAAACTGTCAGCCACATAGTGTGGATTGTTATGGAGTCCACTGAAATATAAAGTTCACAAACACAGACATGAATGACTGCCTCTGGGAGGTGTCTTTGCTTTCGCTCTCTCTGACTCACCTCACTTCTTGCTGTTCGTCCTTTTTGAAGCTTGATTTACTTGCCAGTGTTGTCTTTCCTAGTGGAGTTAGGCTGTCATCTGTTTCAGATTTTTTTTTTTTTTATCAAGAATATGACCGTTCATGAGTCTGACCTCAAAGCTAAAACATTTTAGCCTAAATACTGTGAGGCCATGGAAACTGCACTAGTCTGATGACTGACTGACTCTCACACAGTTCTTACATAAGGACAGGGCGGTTCAACAGACAAAAACACTTATTGGTGGGTAGGAAATGTTGAGGTTTGCCACTAGCAGATGTTTTCTTCTGTGTTGGAATAGTAGATAGTTGGTGAATAGTCATATGCTGTTCTTTTAGTATATCTGAAGACTGATTGTTTTGACTGTTCATTCTGCCAGTGGCTGTGCCCTAAATCTCTGCTTCGATTGCCTGTCGTTGCAGATTTAAACCAGCAGTGGCTCCAGATTATCAAGATGCTAGTCGATAATATACCAGAAGGCCTCAGTGTTTGGATTTCCCAGTTTAATCGAGTAGTAGAGCCCCTGCTAGAGCAGTTATGGGAACTTCTGAATGTAACAGAGGAAAAGGCAGAGCTCTAAATGTCCTGGATAGTAACCTTCTTTGCTTGTATCAGGTTTTTAAAAGGTTTTAAACATTGTTTACATGTTTTGAAAGTTATACTTGGTTGTAAGGCTGGGACTTGTTTATGGTCTTTTGAGGATGAGATGCATGTTTGGTAATGATCAAGTGATTAGTGATCGTATTGATTTAGAAATTTGGTAGTGAGGCATTAATCTCATTGTATTACTGACTGGTTTTAGTTTATTTGTGTGTTGGTAAGGATTATTATAACTCAACACCTACTGTGAAAATGTTTGGGGTTGGTAAGGTTTTTAAAAGCATTTGGAAAGAAATTACTACTTTTTAATTGATCAAAAATAACAGTGACTGATTAGTGTTGTTAAAACGATTTCTATTTCAAATACATGCTGTTCTTTTGAACTTTTTATTTATCAAAGAATACTAAGAAAAATGGTTTCCACAAAAATATTCATAATATGGAAATATTGGCATTGATAATAAGAAATGTCTCTTGAGCTTCAAATCAGTATATTGCAATGATTTCTGAAGGGTCAGTGGCACTGAAAACTACAGTAATGGCTGCTGAAAATCCAGATTTGCTATCAGAGGATAAAAATACATATTAACCCTTAAATGCATACCTCGGGTCTTTAGCGACCCGGGACATCATTCTCTACCCTCTCCCTCCTTCATTTTTTTTTAAAGTTAGACATCAACTTTCTTAGTATTCCTCAATCTATTAATTATAAACAATATAACAAGAAAAAAATAGTAAAATATAAAAGAATGCCTGTTTTCGGATTTTTTTTTGTTGTAAAAAGTGTATAGGGTCGCTAGAGACCCGAGGTATGTAAATGTTTTAAGTATTTTTTCCTGAGCAACTATATTTACATATCTGATGACTCAATATGTGCAATGCATCCTATATGTAATAATGATTGGTGAAACATTCATGCATTTAAGGGTTAAAATCTATAAAGATGGAAATTTTTTTAAATTGTAATAATATTTCACAATAATATTTCATTATACAATACTATTTTTACTGTATTTTTGAGCAAATAAATTCAGACTTGGTGAGCATATGTGATATCTTTCATAAAACATTGAAGAATTAAAAAAAAATCGTACCAGCTTAACAATATTGTATGTTTCTATCTAATAAAACGGTAGGTGGAAGCCACTAGTGTGTAATGTGTCTGATAAAGTATACAAATGAATGACGATTCTGGCTGTGAACTTAAGATCATAGCATTTTACTTAAAAAGGGATGTGTAGTTCCCTTCATCTTTTTCCTCAGGACATCCTCATGACTTCTGGTCATTCTTTTTTTTTTTCTTCTTCATGTGTTTACACAATGTTGATGCGTAAGGGACCCTCTGAATTTTTGCCAATAGATGTAACAGTTGACTGGTTTTGCATGGCATGTCTCAAATTAGGAGTTTCTCATCTCCGCCGGTTTTACAGTACAGTGAATTAACCCCAAGGCCATGTTGAGCATTCCATTACTGTGCTTCCTTTTTTTCTCTGTTCATGGCTGTCATTTCCCATTTTATTGAGAATGAATGTTTGTGGTTGAAACATTGTAGCACAATTCTCTTTTGGCTAAAACTTGGTTTTAGACTTACTTGACCTCGAAAATGTACCAGAAGATTGAGGTTGGCAAATGTTTGTCTGTGTGTGTGTGGGTCTCAACTGAAAGCTTAGCGCATGCAGGGATTATGCCGTCCCAAATCTCAAAGAGAGTAGAGGAGCTAGGGATGTGTTTAACCCCAGACACTGTAATGTTTAAGGTAAAAAGAGGCTGATTCATTACACAGACAATCTTAAAAATAAATCCTAATTATTACCTTCAATGGTTTCATGAGAAACCTTTAACATTGGCTATGTTCAGACTGCAGGCAAATCTGATTAATTTAAAAAAAAAAAATTTCAAATCGGGTCTTTTCAGGCAGACTGTGTTCGCACTATTAATTGCAAGTGATCAAATCAGATTTTGTGTCCAGATGTAACCAACTTATCTCCATGGGTTGCTTTGTTTATGATGCAGAAGTACCCATATTTTTGATCAGGATTTCAAAACCGATGCAGAAAAATGGAAGTGCATGATCGAGTCTGTCAAGTCACGGTGCAGAACTCCTCTGTCGCATAAGAAAAACTCTGCGATGGAGGAGTCTGGTATATATTGTGATGTTTTGTGCAGCCTGCTTCGGCTTTGTTTGAATGCTGTATGAATACTTCTGGCATTTCTGTCACCAGTTTTGATGTTGTTATTGTGTGTTTCATTAAGATAATTTGAAATCCTATTTGAGCAGCCAGAGCATCCAGACTTGTGATACATCTGTAAAAATATGATTGGAATCACATTTCAAAGCACCTCCATATGTGGTTTGAATCTGATTTGGGGGGAAATTTTTTTTTTGCTGTTCAGACATTAAAAAACACATCTGAAAAGGATCTGGATATGCAAAAATTATATTTTTCTGACAGTCTGAACAAGGCCATATAACCTTTCCATTGATCAAAAGGTTCTTTAAGAAAATTTAAAGAACCTTGTACCACTATAATGTTCTTCACACTATTGTTTATTGGGGAATCCAATTGGAAGCATATGGTAGTTTGCATATACCGTTGATAATATTGTGTATATTACAATGTTGGTTTTGTTTTTCATGAAAGACTCCTTTTAACATTGGCATTCTTTGGTGTTTGTTTTGATATCTTGGTTCTCCATTTTTTTTTTTTTTTTCCAGGCTCACGTTTTATCTGGTTTCTTTTAACAGAAGTGGCTATTTTCTCTGTCACTCTTTGATTTCTTGAAACATTTCAGCAGCTTTTTAATAAAGTGAAATGTGAGAATTCCCTCTGTTTGGTTAATGTCATAGTCGGGCTCCAACGGCTGTGACTTGTTCTTTAAATTGTCCGCATTTCTCACTGTGTAAACGCCATCAACAATGGCACAGTGAGAATGTATTGAGCATGTGTAAAGAACACTGGCCTGCTAGCTAATTAGCAGTTGCCTCTTATCTTGCCACCTAAAGTTTAGGGAGTTAATAACCTGCATAGCTTAAGATCTAAAATGATTTTGCAGGAGATTTTCTTAAGTCATTAGTTTAGATAAGTACGTTGAAAGTTTTTTTTTTAGTCAGGTGACCTCCTGCATGTGTAGTTGCATACACAAAAAGGGTTTAGCAGTTAACGCCCAGCATGTTTTCACTGCATAACATGCCCCAGTGGTATCACAGCAACTTAGTTTAGTAAACTGCACAATGTCAAATATGTAGTGACTCACTTTCTCTTTCTGACCTATAGTACAATTAAATAATTTCATTTAGTGACTAGATTATTTTGAATGAGGCAAAACCCTAACTAGGTGTGTGTGCATGCTGTAAACTGTACTTGTTGCTATATCTGCTTAATTAAAAACAGATCTAGTTGAAGAACAATATGTACAGTTACAGTAACATTTGCCAAGTTTTCTGTGGATAATAGGAAACTCCTGTAGCACCACCTAGTGGCAAAAACCATTACCATTTGCTTGCCTTCCTGTTATATTCCCATGTTACTGTAGTTTTTTTTAATCAAGCTGAAATTAGTAACTGATGAAGTCTTTTAAAAACTAGCCATTGTCCTTCTTTTTTTCTTCTGTGTTCTGTCCCTTTAAATGTATCCCACAGGCGGAGCCCTGGCTGCCATCATTAGTTCCGTGGGTGTTGCTGTCCTTGGAGCTGCCTCAAGTTACTTTGCATACCAGAAAAAGAAACTCTGTTTCAAAGTACAAGGAGGTGAGTTTGATACTTTTTTCCAATTAAAGCATCAGAATCCTTTTATAAGCGCTACGTTGGTTTTGATTTATGAAAGTTGCTTACTTTTTTGAGCAGTTCAGATTGGAGGGAAAACAAAACCTCTAGACTTCTCAAACTTTTTTTTAGTCTTCAGTCTTACAACCTTTTAATAATTTGCTCCACAACTCTATATAAAAACCGGTGGGAGCCACAGTAGTTGGTTTATTGTAAAGTAGCTCTACTAATGCAGCAGCTCTTGTAGAGGAAGTGGGGGTTGGGTGCATGATGCGGCAGGCAGTTAAACTGCTTTGCTTGTATTACAAAGACCTTGGGCTTTCAACAGGTGGCTCTGTGGCGCAATGGATAGCGCATTGGACTTCTAAGCTACACTTAGAGAAGTGATTCAAAGGTTGTGGGTTCGAGTCCCACCAGAGTCGCTTTTTTTTCCGAGTGTGTTAAAAAGAGGTTAACAACGCAATTAGTACGGTGTTGTCCAAGTGTAAGTTATGTTATCATATAACTTTAGTAAGAGGATTTATGAAAATGGCTTTAACAAAAAGAATTCACGGGATAAGCTAAAAAAAATACTTTTTCCTATAGGGGAGGATCCAGAGAGTGGCAAAAACCGTGGTACTCAGTCTGATCCTCAAGGTAAGCTTTTCAATTTCAAGGCTGCATTTGTTTATCAAAAATACAGTAAAAGTTTTCTATTTGAATATATTGTAAAATGTAATTTATTCTTGTGATGGCATAGCTGAATTTTTATTAAAATCATTCTAATATGCAGATTTGCTTCTCAAAAAACATTTCTTATTATCAACGTTGAAAATGGTTTTTCTGCTTAAGATTTTTTATGGATATTGTGATATTATTTTTCAGGATTTTTGATGAATAGACAGTTCAAAAGAACAGCATTTAATTGAAATAGAAATCTTTCGTGACAATTATAATTGTTTTTATTGTCAATTTAATGCGTTGTTGCTTTTTGTGTGGTGTATGTGAGTTTGGTTTAAATTAAGTATTGAGAGAAGTTATTTTTCTTTGACCAATTTTCTTTTATATGGATTATATGCTTTTCTGATACAATTTCTCACCTAGTAGATAACATAATTTACTATTTTCTCTCCCAAAGTTCTCAGCAACCTGCTCCGTTCATCGTAACTGCATTGGATCTGCACATTGAAATAATATATGCACACTGAGCATGTACAGCTATGGAGAGCCTAACCATATGGGAAACATCTGTTACATAAAAGGCTGGTTTAAGACAGTTTTAAAAATCTTAATGTAAGTGTGTTTTTGTTTTATTTGTAGTTTTTATTTGGATTATCTAAGTTGTATTGACTCTGATCTTTATTTTAAGAATGTATTTTTTTTTTGTAACAAATTTTTCATCTTTAGAGGAAGTAGAATAATATGTCACTAAATGGCTCGGTGTTCTTTTTGTTTTTCAAATAGTGCCAATGTAAGATACTGCACTTTAAAATGACATTGTTACTATTTTTGTAGAAGTACAGCAAGTTGCATAAGGGACTTGCTGTCGTAAAGTGCAAGCTGTCTGTACGGGTGAATGCATCAGTTACGCTTTTGTTCATTCTTGCATTACTCATAATATGAATTAGAGACTGCCTTCTTTCCCAATCAAACAGAAGACTATGAGGAAGAGGAGGATGATGTTGCTGATAATGTATGCTGTTGAGAATTGAACTACAAGTGGCAAAATGTGACATTAATAAAATAACATGGAATGAGTTTAAAATTATAGGATACTCGCTTCTGTATCATTTACTATATATATATATATATATATATATATATATCTCCTATACACACATTTTAAGTAGAATGGAATAATTTGACCAGATAAAATGAGTCTTTAATTGTTACTGTAAATGCTGCTAAAGATTGATACTTATATATCTGACAATAATACACACACAAGGCAAATGCATTGAATGCGTGTGTAATGCACCTCTTGAACCATGAACCACAGAAATTATTATTGAAGATTTATTGTATGTATAATATTTATTATTTTAAATATGCCTTCCTTCTGATCCCAACATTAGGAAAGAGTGGATGAACTTTATTTTTAATAAAAGTTCCAGACCGTGTCAGTAAGAACTTGGTCATTTGTTCATTTCATTTTACCGTGGATTCGTTTACAAGCAAGAAAAAATTCTTACACAGTACAGCAAGTGTGTGTTCTTGGATGCAGACACACTTGTGAGTGCTTAGTTATGTTAAGATAAAAGTAAAGATGGTTTTGATGTCATCGATCGGTCTGTGCAGCGCCGATGCATCGCGAACAAGCCGATCGTTGTATGACATCAAAGTACCGTGAGAGCGATTCGAAAGCATGCAGAGTCGTCTGCTCTATAGCTCTGGCAGTACTTTGATGTCATGCACCACCGATCGGTTTGCACAGTGCCGCTTCAAGTCGAACACACCAGTTGATTGGTGACGAATATGATGCAGGACAGCAACTCACTGCGTGATGGAGCCTATAGAATGCAGTTAGCCTACATGACCTAAAAATGCAAGATATTGGGAAAAAATGTATGAGATTTTGTCTCATGTTTATATCATATATAGGCTAGTTAAGCCATATCACACGAGCAACGAGTGCAATATCAGACGAGTGCTGTTTTTGCACAACAGTTCACTAAATAAACTTAAGTATTGTTGTAGACACAATATTGTCTGTTTTTGCTCAGTTTTATTTCCTATTAAAGACACAGCAGAACTGTTGTGCGTCTCCAAGCAACACACAATTTCTGAATGAATCCGCCTTTTAAAGGAATCGGGTGAACCAATGATTCAATGGCCAATTCATAAAGAGAGCCATTTACTGAATTCATGAATGAATCAGCCGTTTGAACCAATCGAATGAATGAGTCAATGACTTATTCATTATGACATTTACTGGCACCCACTGGCAGTTTCTTATTTAGAATATTGTTTCATTAAAAAAATAATATCATATTTACATATTAATAAAAAAAATCTGAAAATAAAATAAAAAATCCATATTAATGAAAAACGAATTAAAGGGATAGTTCACAAAAATAAATAAATACAAATGAAAAAAAGAAAGAAAGAAAGACAATGCAAAAAAAAATCTTTCTAAAGCTACTTTTTGTAATGTCTATTTCATGCATTTCTCATGTAATACAACAATGGCTTTAAATGATTTTTTTGTGTGGGTAATTTCCCAGCCAAATTTGATGTGCAGATTTTAAAGTTTAAAGGCTTTTTATTTGGCAAATGTTTATGTAAAAGGACTGTAGACACATCAACTTGCAACCACATGTGACGACCCCGGGCTGGACTCCGCTTCGTCCACGAAAAAATGCAAAAGCAATAATAAAGTTAACAATAGTCCATTTGTACATATGTTACAGTGCAGGTAAACTACAGACTTTCAGAGGATAATGCATGAGGTGTTGGTCCCACAATTTGTCTGTAATATAATTCTTTGCTGCAGGTACTGTGTAATGTTGAGCTGTTTTAATATGAAGAATTGTCTGCTGCACCTGATCCAGGCTGGCCAGATTGCTTCAACTCTGGGGTATTTGTGTTTAGGCCCTCCCTGAATACCCACATCCAAATACTGGAACATGCCGCACAGCACGGCAGCTTTGATGGTGAATGACACGGTTATATTTAGCTGATGTTACATTCAAATCTTTTAAGTTCGGTCTAAGTTTGAATGCGCTCAAAGCCTGTTGGAACTTGAATTAGCCTCAAATGCCGTTTTGTCACATTTGTATTTTTTAATCTTTAAAAACAAGAACACCATATATACATTACCATTCAAAAGTTTCAGTAAGATTTTATTTGAAAGCAATTAATACTTTTATTCAGTAAGTATGTATTAAATTGATCAAAAGTGACAATAAAGACATTTATACTATTTCAAAAGGTTTCAAATAAATGCTGTTCTTTAGAACTTTCTATTCATATACATTACTATGTCATGTCTTGTCCAGTATAGGAGGAGACCAGGGTGTTTTAAACACTTTCTTCAGTGACTGGGCAATAAAAGATATCAGAAAGCATTTATCAAGTGTGTACAACCTCACAGTATAGGCACTGTTTAAACATATCTGACAGCATTTCAGCAGTAAGTTTCCATGCAAACTTTTATTAAGTATTCCTTATGTTATGTATTTGTGTACTGTTTAGTAACGAATCCCATATTACATTAAACACATACATGTATGACAGATAGACATTCTGGTTTTGTACAGGTATGGCCACCATGCAAAAATTGTCCACTTCTTGGGTGGGACCAAGCCCTGGCACCTTTCATATGACCCACAAGCTGCCAATGAGTCATCTTTTAGGGACTCTATCAAGAACTTTCAGCAATTTATAAATTTATGGTGTGACAGCTACAAGTTAAAAAGGATGACAATAATGAAGACTATGTAAGACTGCACTCACATCAGATATCTTGTTTTCATTTTGTTCACAGTAATGATACCTACGTGGCCCATTTGACTGTTCTTATGACATATATTTATGCATTTTGCATACACATTTTGCATACACTTTTATCAAAAATGACTTCCATTGTATTCAAGGAATATTTTATCAGTTTATTCATCCCTGGGAATCACTAACCAAAGTTATTGCAAATAATCACTTTGAACCACTAGGGATAGGGTCCCACTTTATATTAAGTGGCCCTAATATCTGTGTACTTACATAGTAACTAGATGTGTACGTAGTATGTAACCACATTGTAAGTACACATTGGTACATAGTATCTACAGCTGTAATGTTTCTGTAACTACACACATGTAACAACCCTCCGAATGGTTTGTGTAAGTACAAATGTGTAACAGGACATTGGTAACAACACTTTTTTTCACTTCACTAAGTACTTGTGTAACAGGAATTATATAACTACATTTTGTAACAACAATATGTATAAGAGTAATTGGAACAATTTGATCCAGGGGGTGGAAATGGGTAGGTTTAGGGATATGTAAAGTGGGATGAGTTGGATCTCAAGTTGGTGCTACACTGTAATACCAGTGTACTTACATGGTTATTCCTCAGTAACTGTCCACTTAATATAAAGTGTAACATTCTGGACACCAACCACAATTTATATGTAAAGCCTAACTTACTGGCCGCTGCTGTGTAACACCCGAGTAATTACATGGTAAATTCATAGGAATTGCTTATTTAATATAAAGTGTAACACTTTCTTTACCAAAAAGTGCTGTTAGTCCTGTTACACATTTGTACTTTCATTACCAAAAAGTGTTGTTACCAATGTCCTGTTACACATTTGTATTTACACATACCATTCAGTGGGTTGTTACATATATGTAGTGACACAAACATTACAGCTGTAGATAGTATGTACCAATATGTACTTACTCTGTGGTTACATACTATGTACACATCTAGTTACTATGTAAATACACAAGTATTAGGGCCACAATATAAAGTGGGACCCTTTCTTCTGTAAAACATGAAAGAAGATAATTTGAAGAATGTTGGTAACCAAATGGTTTCAGTTCCCATTGACTTCCACTGTATTTTTTGTCCATACAGTCAGAAGTCAATGGGAAACAAAAATCTTGTTCAGTCAGTCATCTCTGATCTTTCTCTAGGTTTGTAGTCAGTGCAGCATTTGGTTTCTCCACAGACACATCAGACTCCATCACAAAGCCAAAAGAGCAGCACTGAAGCCCACCACAGAGAGATGATGACACCCTCGCCACCTCTCCAAGATCTGACTTTGGACTCACTGACAATCATCTCATCTCAAATGTCTGAGGAATCTGTAAGTCGTACTGCCCATTGAGAGAAATTATGGTTGGAAGAGCTGAAATGAAGAATTGTGAAAAATAACATTATGTAGTCTTGATTTGCCTCTCGCTTTGAGTCTCTTTCTGAATAAACTCCACCTTCTTTAAAATTATTGTGCCCTCTGGGCTTTTAGACAAATCCAGTGACACACCCAACAGTGACTCACCAACAACATTTACATTTACATTTACATTTAGTCATTTAGCAGACGCTTTTATCCAAAGCGACTTACAAATGAGGACAATAAAAGCAGTCAAAACTAACAAAAGAGCAACAATATATAAGTGCAAATGACAAGTCTCGGTTAGCCTAACGCAGTACACGTAGCAAGGTGTATATAAATATATATATATACACCTTCACACACACTCACTCACTCACTCACTCACTCACTCACTCACTCACACACGTCCTGGGGGCCAATAAACAACTATAAAATGGATTTTAAGAGGGTGGGTAATAGTGGCTGAATGTGATTCAAAGGAGCTGTTGATACTCAGAGATGGTAAAGGATTACATTTCCAATCATTAGAGATAAGCAGACCAGTACCTCCACCTCTTCCAGTCAGACGGGGGGAGTGGGAAAAAGAGAAATTATTTGAGAGTGCTGCAGGTGTAGCATTGTCCTCTGGTTTGATCCACGTCTCTGTCAGGGCCATGAGGTTTAGTCTTGAATGACTTGTAATAGAAGTAATAAAATCTGCTTTGTTTACAGCAGACTGGCAATTCCAGAGACCAATAGAAAAAGAAAGTAGTGTATTAGTAGACATAGGCAAAGTGCGCAGGTTGTTAGGATTGCGCTGCCTACAGTGTGTGATGCATGGTTTGCGAGTGGTAGTGATAGTAGGGATCTGGAAACACATAGTAAGAATTGGTTATAATAACTGAAAACAGAAGGAAAACACAAAG